AGCGGCAGATGTCAGTGCACGCAAGAGATGACTTCTTGCATGAGCAGCGTTGAGTGTCACACACTCCTCGGCACCCGCAGCTGATGAGGCTCTGAAGTTCTTTTGGCACTGCCTGCTGTTCTGTCCAATTCACAGCAACTCTGCCTGAAGGAAGAAACAAACATTGTCACAGACAGTTAATTTATTCCTCGCGTATATTTTTGCAGTAGACAGTCATAGATATCTGGTTAAATGGGAAGGGCAGCACTGTATCCTTTATCCTTTTATCTGCTAATTACAATTCTTTCAACCTTGCAGTATGTTTCTCAATATCCGCAGACTCCACTGTAGCCTTTGTAGAGGCGTACCATACCCTAATAATTACACAAGTGTAAATTTCCTCACGCATAACTTGATCCAAAGGTGGGTACATTATCGGTGCTAATTATTTATCGGAACAACTTACCGTCGCTGTCTTGAATCCATCCTCTGCCGATGGGCGTAGGCACATCGGGCTTCGGTTGCAAAGCCAGTCACCGCACAGTAGCCTGGTAATCAGCGCGTGCTGTGTGGACATTATGTAGCTCTATCACATCTCCAGTGCGTAAGCCAACAGCCTTCCAGCTTGGAAGGTACCATAACCTTGAACCTTCCAAGCTGGAAGGTCCAATCAGTGGACAGAGCCAGTACTACTACCAGGTAGTATCATCAGGCGATGTTTTATGGCTCTACCATCAGGGGAAATGGAAAGAGGAAGGCACACGGCAGAGACTTATCTGGAGCTGAATGACCTGAACTACTTTCGGAAGGGACAGCGACGAACGAAAAACCAGGACGTTGCATAGAAGCAAGTAATTCCTTCAAAGAAATCCACGCCGAGCATCGCTTTTTGAAAAGTTTTTGAATTGTGGCATCGTTTTCTTCTTCCTTTCCTAGTCAGAGGTGTTTCACATTTTTGGGCGCGCTCTCTTTTCTCTCAATGGTTGCATTCATGATTTTTCGCCCAGTGAGCCAAAAATATTACGATATCTCCTGCCTGAAATTGTCGATTTGTCGTCGGATATATTCCCTTCTCCTGAGGCTATGGCACAGCTTTGAGATGTCCGACAACTTCAGACATACTCACTGTTAGGTACTTGAAGGGTTGGCGAAGAGTTTTTGTGCTCCCTACGAAGTGGTACCCAAATTTTCGATTTCGAGATCGGGATCCCGGACTATTTGTTGCAGAAAATGGCACTTGCATAATCAGGTTCTTCTGCTGGGGAAACATGTGGGTAGTGGTGGTGATACTTTTTTTAATACGCAGGTCATATTGTGGTTGTTGCTGTTGCAGAATTTTCGTGACTCTGTCATAAAATTGTCTTGCATTTCAGATATTTCAGATTTCCCCACCCTCAATCAGATTTACTTGAGAAATGTAACCAGTTGCGCGTCGCAGCTGTTTTGTTCTGTGTATATAATTGTAGTCATGGGTTATCGTGATAAGGTCATCCTGCATCATATTGCACTGATATCGTTATCCTGTTGATGTCGATTCAACTTTTGGAAGTAGCTCAATTACTTCAAAGAGTTAGTCCACAATTGTCTAAAACAACACAGCAAAGAAGGAACCATAAACATGTATTAAAATATGAACAAATACATTGTTGAGTCCGACACCTCGTTCCAACAACTACACTGATCCCGAGGATATAAGTGCAAAGCTACCGTAAAAGTCCGTAAATAAGTACGTATTTACTTTTGAATTTAGTGACCACACCCGTACTAACTTTCGGGCGGGTACTGACTTTCGGGCACGAACTAACTTTCGGACCTGACTTGTGTGTAGTGAAGAAGTCATTTTCATGTCGATGTACATGCTACACACTGCATGTGCGCATCGTACCGGTACTTATTTCGGGCAGTATGTTTATCGGGCTCGACTTTACTTCAACAGACAGAGCCAAAAGAATGAAGGGGGTATTTCTTTCGGGCAGGTACTTATTTACGGACTTTTACGGTATGGTTGGAGGTACTGAGATAAACTAGGCACTCCAGAATATTAAAATGTTACACATCTATTGGTGAGTATGAATGATATCCAGTCGAACCTCTTTAGGACGAACGCCAAGGGCCCGATGGTATTTGTTCTGTGAGTTTGTCTTAACCCAATTTTATAACCAGTGAATACAATTATTTTTCCAATAGAGATACGAATAGATTTCTTCTACAGTGAAAGACTCTAAGCCAAACCGACTCATTGACTCGTCTCGTACGAAAAGAATGTCACTGTCCCTCCAGGAACTTGCGATTCCGTGGCCACGTTGTTTTCCGCGATTCGAACAAAAGTCCGTTATATCTGCGATATTTGAAAAATCATCCGCGTTATTGTAGAAAACAGTCTATGATACCTGCAAAGCACCGCGACATTTCGAAAAGCAACTGCGATATTCGAGTCTTTCTTCGATGTTGTTTAGTTCTTGAAGCTCGTCAGTAGTTTACTTGTGAGATCGACACCAGAATGGAGAAGTTTCTGGGCAAATCACCGGCTGACAAGTCACAAAATAAGGCTCGCGTTGAGTGTTGTCCGAGGATGGAGAAAAGCTGTCTTGCAAGCTCCTGTCAGGCAGTTGAACACAGTCAGCCCAGCCCACGTTCGGTTTTGTCATACATGATTTATGCTGTACAACTCGTACATCGTACAGCACTATAGTACAAGCACCAAAATCGACCACAATTTCACCACAATAATACGAACTTAGAAGTTGCGACCTCGGCGGTAATAGTCATGAAGTCATGAAGTCAAGTGTCAAGTTTGGCAAGAAGTGTGTGCTCCTCGTTGGAGCAACCAACTTTATCACAATAATCCCGCAATAATTGACAAAATCCGCAATATTCCCCGCAATTTGCGGCATTTTACCTCGCAACTTTTCCGCGATATTTCCAAAATGTCTCCGCAAGTTTCTGCATGGACAGATTAAATGAGTCACTGAACCTATCTTTAGCAACATGACGGCAACTGAAACACCAACAGAGAAAATACGATAAATGTACAGCACATTCTTGCAGGTACTACAAACAGATTGCCGATCGTACTTCTTGCTCTGCCGGCACGCAACTTTATTTGGGGCAGTACGATCTCGGCGCTACTTACAACTCAAACAGCCCAGACTCGAGTAAACATATCCAATCGTACGAGATTTTCACGAGACGAGACTGCACCCATTGGCTTGTCTCGTATGAAGCAACCAAGTCACTGAAAGCATGAACCTTTCCATAATGGAGATTTTCCCTGATATGCGAATTTATTTTGCATACTCGGCCAATGCGTCCTTGAACCTTTCCCTCCAGATTGGGAACTGTCAACGCTGCTATGCCACTGCAAAATGCAGATTCTACCCTATGATCGGAGCACGGAATGCCGGAAGCAATCATGACCAGTGCCTTACTTGCAACGTACCAATGTACAATGAACATGAGTATTTCGACAACACTTCTAAGCCTCAGCAGCAACATAAGCCTTACCGTTAAGAAGGTGGACTCGCATTCTTCGCACACTGTTGGCAAGGGCAAAGAGATATGAATGGATCTAAATCCGAATAAAATCAGCACACGTTACGGTTTCAGTAAATGAAAGGGTGAGCATAAGCAAATGAATCGAAGGAAACTGGTCAACTCAGAGATCACCTGTCATTGAGTATTCCGTAAAAGGAGGCCTCGGCAGCAGAAAAGCTAAATTTAGAAAAGAGATCGTGTCAGCTTTTCCATTATTTATTGTATTCAACGGAAAATCAGCACATTTTTCGTAAATAAAAGAGTCAAGTGAATCAAAGGGAACTGGGCAACTCACCTGTCATTGAGTAATATTCCGTGAAAGGAGGTCTCAGCAGAGCCGAAGCGAAATAAGCCAGGAGACGATATATCCGAAACAGCTCATGCAAGAAGCAGTTCCAAAGAAGGAAGTTCCTAGCGCACACACATCCGAAAACGGACTGCAACACAATGTCTGCCGTGCATGTGCACAGCACGCAGTTACCACGCGTTGGTAGATCTAGGAGGCATGGAGTGGTGAAATACTGAGCACCTTACGTAGAAACTTACGTAGCCTACGTGAAATACCGAGCACCTTACGTAGAAACTTACGTAGCATAGCAATGTCGTTTTGTCTTGCCATGTGAACACAAGAAAAGAAACAAGTGCAACATTCTGTACTCTGCCGCACTGTGCGTGAGAATTCCGCGCAGGATCAGCGGAAACTTCGCGGAGAGATTCAGGATACACATTGCCAAAAAGAGAAGTGTGAAGAGGTCAAAAGTACAAATGCGATTCCAGTGCAAAATAGCAGATCACACAAAACTATCAAAGGCAAGTCACGCTGCACGTATGCATGAATACCACTACCAGATCCGCGGATCTAGCGCAAGCAACAATCACGCGTGATCACATGATCAATGATGACATTATTCAAAAATGGCACCTCTGCGAATGAACACTTCTGCAGCTGGCACATGGGAAGAAAGAAACGAAAATAATTCGAAAACAGTTCAAACACAACGAAGAAATAAGTTTGAAACTCGGATGTTGAGCCATAAATAAATGTAGAAGAGAAAAGGACATATCGATATGTCCTTTTCTCCTCTACATATATAAATAAGTTTGAGAGAACAATAAATTTATCAAGTGGAACAATGTAGTATGAATCTGCCAGGGGGTGCTTACACCCAGCGCTGGGTGACAGAAATAGAGACAGAAAAGAAAGAACTAACAGAGAAAGAGAAATACTACAGCGCTGAGGAACGAAGATCAAACGGCAAATTCAATAAGTAAAACATGTGATTACCCTCAACCTGTCACAATCAATACACTTGCCACTCAAATACTACTCAACCTTTAATCACAATCAATATGCTTGCCACTCAAATACTACTCAACCTGTCACAATCAATACGCTTGCCACTCAAATACTAGTCTGACACTGCTCTGAGCATGCAGCGCAGACAGTTTCGTTTGGGTCCAACAAACCGGAATAAGGGTTAACTTACAGTTCCTGAAGGGCTGGTAGGTTGGCAAATACATTTGTAGGAAGGCCTACAAGTTGATTATTGTTCAGTATTCTACAAAGGGAGAGGAGAAAAGTTCATTTAGAATATTTGCGAATATTTGGGTTCTGTGATGGCCGCTAACATACCAGGCGGTAAACCGTAATACATAGCCAGCAATCGCATGTCACCACGTACATTCAAAATCAACATAGTTTTGCGAATCGACCTTTTTTTCAGGATCACTTTTCAACGAGGACGAAGCAAAGTCGGCCGAACGAAGCCTAGATGAAGAAAATCACCCTCTCTACTTCACCATCACGATACTGACATAGATACGAGATGAAACAACTAAAAAATCCACAAGAAAACTCTACGGCCATCATCGCGCTGACTTTGGTCTGAGAATTTCTACCACGATCAAAAATGTACGAGGAGCACTCAAAAATAAGCCACAGACGTACCTGTATCGCTCTCTACTCCTTTTTCAAGGCACAAAAGTCGACTCTCCACTCTCAAACCAGGAACCAGACATACCAGTGATCCTTTTCAGCTGCTCCACGAGCGCAGGAAAGGTTCACCAAGGGGCGCAGAGCAGCATCCATTCCAGAAAAGAGCTAAAATACGAGTGAGACTGCATGCCTGAGTACATAAGTACATGTATGAGTACATGCAGAAAATAGTCAATTTCAGCGTTTCTGCTCCAAACAGCAACTAGCTTCGACTAGAAACAAAGATTACAACAAAGGATCAAACAACAACCATTTTCTGCAGTTTTTTTGCAGATAGCTTCCTTGTGCTTGGCCCAGCACGCCAAAAATCACACCTCGGAGGAGTACAAAAAGTACAACTCTCAGATGTCCTCGATTGCTGGCCATGAGTAGGAATAGAACACAAGTCAAGTAATGAAAACAATTGCATGAAAGCAAAAATGTGAAAAGTAAATTGGAACCCTACTCAAACACAGGAAAATTCAATGAAGCGAGCACTGTCACAGAATAAGTCCACCGCCAAGGGGCGCAATGCATTGATAGGGCGATGTTTCGCGGAGCTCGGTCTTCTTACGCACATGATGGTTGCGCGAAGTACGGCAAAGGATACCTGACATCGCAGGTATGATGGTTTGGCATCCCTTGCAGAACGGCTGGCACCTCTCGGCAGTAGCCAAGTCAACGAGGCGTTGAACCACACCATCCCTAGCAAGGCTCCCAAGGCCCAATGCTATGGTGGGAGTGAATCCCACGACTTCAGGACTGCGGCAGCTATTTTTCAGAAGAATGAAGGCCAGGCCTGTGTCTCATCCGTATTGTCTCAAGTAAGTGGAACCCATAATTATGATGGTTATATGTATGTTAGGCCCACAAGTGATTACAATATATGAATTCATATAATTCATTATATCATGCATTATTCATTTGGCCTGGGTAGCTATTTGCGCGTCCATGTTTGCCATAGCTACCCAGACCCTATATATTGCGTTGCCTCTGCCTTCAACTCTCTCTCTTCAATAAGCTCTCTTCAATAATAATCTCCCTCTTCAATAATCACCATGTAGTCGTTTCGTTCGTCCTGGTCTCTTGTCCCGTTTCTAATAAATGTCGTTGCACAAACATACCGGTTCCGTTTTCAGTCTCTTGTTCGAACTCTCAACATGTCGGACTCAGACAGCAGTCACGTCCCACGTAGCAGTTACCGTCCCACGTAGCAGTCACGTCCCGCGTAGCAGTCACATCCCACGTAGCAGTCACGTCCCACGTAGCAGTCACATCCCACGTAGCAGTCACGTCCCACATAGCAGTCACGTCCCACGTAGCAGTCACGTCCCACGTAGCAGTCACGTCCCACGTAACAGTCACGTCCCACGTAGCAGTCACGTCCCACGTAGCAGTCGCGTCCCACATAGCAGTCACGGCCCACGTAGCAGTCACGTCCCACGTAGCAGTCACGTCCCACGTAGCAGTCACGTCCCACATAGCAGTCACGGCCCACGTAGCAGTCACGTCCCACGTAACAGTCACGTCCCACGTAGCAGTCACGTCCCACGTAGCAGTCGCGTCCCACGTAGCAGTCGCGTCCCACGTAGCAGTCACCGTCCCCAAAGTCAGCCATACAGTCAAAATCACTCACATATCAGTCACAGTTCGCGTCTTTTGAGAACCCAGTTGTGGTGCCCTCAAACGAGTCATAGAGTCAGAATACAATCATGCATGTACGGCGTGCAAGTAGTACGTGATTGTACTGCTTTCTGTATCCAAGTATTATTTCGAATTATTGTGTCCGATTCGATATCAATATTTTTCTTCATCTACTCACAAGGTAAGTGAAAGAGGAGACAAGTAGCAGTCGTTCGTTGGTGAATTACGCCTCCCGTGACGATTTTAGGCCATCGCTGCCCTCCCTCTTGCTCCTGTTTGGAGAGCAAATACTGCGATGGGATCAGCGATACAAATTTGCGATTTCGAGTCGCATTCCGGGCTAACATCGCCACAGCCGATCTTTCCAAGTGTTCACCACATCTAGAAGACAACGACATTACCTGGAACAAGCTACATCTTCGCTACAAGCAGAGAAATTGAGAGAGAACACTATCGAAATAGGGAAAATTGTTTGCCCTGAAAAGCATACTTTTGAACGCGTTCGTTCTCCATACTTTCAAATGGCAACCTACCCATGTCATTCCTCAGCGCTGAAAAGCATACTTTTGAACGCGTTCATTCTCCATACTTTCAAATGGCAACCTACCCATGTCATATATCAAAGCTGGTGACTTGTTTTTGGCTCTCTGTGACTTCTTTGTGACTGGTGACTGCTATTAAAGGTTTTGTGACTGTATGACTGGTATTAGGGGCAGTGACTGCTATGAGAGCCCTGACTGCTGTCAAAGTCCTACATATACTTAGCACACTGAGTATAGTAACTGACACAAAATCTCTACATTCAGGCATGCATGCAGGCACACATACCATAACTAAAATGTACTCAGGTTAGCCTGAGTCTATAATACCCAACAGCTATATTATTTTTAGCAACGAAGGTACGTGTTGGGTCGTAAGTATCCACGCAAACACACATCCAGTCAAAATAAGGCACTTGTCAAATTATCCGAACTTTTTCGGTCCCTTCTTATCAAAGATTTTACAGGGATTGGCTCAAGTTGGAAAGACTAAAACTTATATAGCGTAAAGATATGAGATAACAACACTCGTGACAAGGTGGAAAATTATCAAGTTCAGCACGACACAAAACTCGAAGGAAATAATAATAGTGACAAGAACATAGTGAGCAAATTCAGTTACAATGTTAAAAAGCAAATTAAGTTACATTGTGTTGTCGCTACAATTGTTTGGTGTTACTCCTCGTCGAGGTGTTAACAATGTAACTTAATTTGCTTCATTTGCGCACACATAATCTGATGTACCCAGGTTCGGCTATGGCCGAGTTCCGGTCCCTGACTGCTACTGCCGGCAGCTCACGGCCAGTGTTTGTGTTCGTCGACGGCAGCTACTTCTCCCGAGTTTGCTCGACTAAGATCCTCAACTGCAACCGGGTGAGCTCCCATTCTGTGCACACTGGCGGGGCCACGCTCATGGCTCACCAGAGTACAAGTGTCAATGAAGCAGCCATATGCCGTGCAGGCTGCTGGCGAAGTGCAGCATCCGATCACTATGTCAGGCGTGCAGCCGGTATGCCCTCTGTGCAATAGCTAGCAGTAAAGACTGGAACAGCCCACGCCCATGTGGTGTTGAGAACAGAAGTGAGGTACATTTGTAGTGTTGTACAGTGTCGTGCAGTCCACTTGTTGCGCAGTCCTTGTGCCGGTGTGGCTCTGTTGGTATCACATAGGGTATTGGTGTCGGGGTCCCAAAGTATCACAACACTTAACACGCATCTAGAGTGCGCTCACCTACCCCTTTCTTACGTTACTTCCTAACTTAGAACCCTCTAAGTTGGGAAGGCTGCTGGTCTGTATATTGCACAGTCTCCATCCTTCCATACGGTTCGCTTGAGAATATGAGGAGTCTACTTCTCGAGAAAACAAACTTTGGGAGTGTGACTTTGGCTCATGGAAAACCCACGTTCACTGGACAGTATACTGCATTGAAAACCAACGTTCAATGGACAGTATACCGCATTTGACTCGTATTGCTCCTCACAGTACGAAGTTAACTCAGTCCTGAACCTCGCCGACCGAGCCAAGCGCATTTGCCCCCCTAGTAAACTTGCGGATCAGCTTGAATTTCTCCGCTCCGTGTTTACTAAGAATGGCTACCTGGACCATATTTTGCACAAGTATTTGTCAACAACTCCAACTAAAGAAATAACGATCGGACCTGCTCGATGTCTGGTATAAGCTGGGCCGTAACTTGAGCGGGGTGTTGAGCACGCGTATGTGTTGTGGGGTGTATTGGTATTTTATGGAGTGGCCAAGAAGGGTGAGCTTCACTTTGCGACGAGAGAACATTGTCGGCCATTTGAGCCGATGGAGGAGTGTTGAATGATTCAGAGGAGTGTAGAGGGGGAGACGGAAGCAGATTATGGCCGCATTGCGTTGGATTCGCTCAAGACGGTCAAGGGCTGCGATTGAGAGCGGGGTGACAGCAATGCATGCATATTCAATTATAGGCAGGATATATGGCCCAATATCTGAGAAATCGACCTTCCGGGCTGTTTTGGTGAAATTGATTTTTTTTATTGCAAATTGATGTCTAGCCTTTGTAGAGTATTGTGACTTCGTTTCACGGCCATCAGATCAATATTGACCATGTAGAAATGCATTTTACAGTCAGGAGTCATGTTACTGAATTGTTCTGTTTTTACAATTTTGAAAGATCAGTGTGTTTGGAGCCACCAAAAATTGTTTCCATGTCAACATCGGAGCAGACTACAACAACAACTTCTCAAAGACCAAGACGTTCATCAGCTAATTACTGTATGAACTATGATGCCGGCAAACAGCAACGACAAAGGAGGAAACCCAGTGTGACGGCAACAGTGGACGTGACCGCCAGCAATGAGGACGATGACGGAAACGGCACTGACGGCGGAGATTCCAGCAGTGAGTTGAGTAAAGGAGAGAGCGTGGGTATGGGACAGTGTGAGAGTGAGTGTGAACGTGTGTTTCAACCTCGTAAGTCTTCTGTGTATAATCATTTGGTATCTCGTGCCAAGTGTATGATATGCTCTCCAGGCACAAACATGACCAGGAAAATCATCGCCGAAGTCACAGCCACTATTTCATACTGTTGTGCCCAGCTCGGTCTTTTGACTAGCTGGTTTGAAGGTTACAGCATTGTGAATGACCCATAGTTCTCTACTTGTGTTCTCACCCTCCAGGAGCGACACAAAGTTGCGCTGCTATCTCGTGTTCACCAGGTGTTTGGCGTGCTGGAAACGGAGCATCTGTGTAATTTTGTATCCGTGGTGATGTTTGTGCCTGGAGAGGACTAGAAAAGTGGTGCTATTCAGGCACAATCTTCCTCAACCTGCTCAAGCTCAACTGATGAGGACCACGGCACATGACAGTGAAAGAAGAGTCTGAATACGAATTGCAACAATCAGGACTAGCTAGCAGATAAGTGCCGTTGAGAATGCTAGTGTCGTGCATAGGTGAGTGGTGCTTTCTTGCAGGTTTGCTGAGTAGAAGGTTCGATGGACATCTAGTGTGCTCTGGATGGCAGTGGTGAGTTAGTCAAGTGTCAAGTCAAGTCGGCGGAATAGCGCGAGCTCCAATGTGGGAGCAAACCAATTCTTACACAGTAAGTAACCAAAACTACTTACATGTTGTTAAGTTGTCGAGAACCCTGAAAAGCAGACTCTCTGAGTGCTGTCAGGCTCAATTGTTGCAAATTCCTGAAAACATGATTATAACAAAGAAAAAGGAGCTACAAGTTACGCTATACTGTTACGCTATACTGTCAACTAACACCACCAGTTACTACCTTGGTCTTTCTCTTTTGTACCTTGGCTCTCCACCTGAGTCCAAAACAAAGAACATACTGAAATATCCGAGCAGGTCTGATGATAACTATGGCTGGTTTTCGCCCTCATCTCTGGGGTTGCTCCCCACATTAGCAATGCGTGCACATGCTACGAGTTTAATAATAACAATAATAATCATAAAGACCGAAACGTTGTAACGATACCAATGGATTTGTGTGAAATGCAGTGCTCTCTTGAGTGTAGGCAGGTTGCCTGCAAACAATTTAAGTATAATGAAGCTGCGTGAAGCGTCCTTCAAAATTTTGAAACAATAATAATATGAAAGTAGGACAGAGGCAGAAAATATTACAAAAAATGTATTATCGACGCATGCATCTACGGAAGAGTCACCACCAGCCAATTAGGACATGTGTCAAAGTATTGAACGTTTTCGTTCCCTTCTTGTCAAAATACTACAGGGAATGATGGAAATAAGCTAAAAGACTACAACTATAAGGAAAAGAAGTTCAGAAATATATCACTCCAATTATGTGTAGAAGTGACACGAAAAAATACGGAGCATCAGCAAATCGAATATTCGAATGAAATTCGAGAATCGTCACGAAAAGCACTCAATCAGTCGAAACTAGGGCTTCGTTCGACTGAAAAATGCCCGCAAACAGAAAATACTTTTCGAATACTTTTCGAATGCTACGCGCGTGCTCTAGTACACGGCGCACTACGAGTACTCATTCTTGCGCATGTAGCTACTAGTTCTTACTAAAGTACTACTTCTTGTCAATCTTGACGCTTTCCTCTCTCACAATATCGCACGCCAGGTAATAGCCTAAAACAAATGTCTCAACTTGCAAGATCTCGAGTCAGGTGATGATGGGTCAGCGTGAAGTGCATGTCTCAACTGGTGTGATCGCCAATAAGATGTGAAGGTGACGAGGCCAGAAAGAGAGAGAAAGAGAGAAAGACAGAGGCAGAGAAAGATAGTGTGTGTATGTATGTGTTTGTGTGTGTGAGTGCACGTGTGTGTGTGCGTACGTGTGTGTGTGTGTGTGCGTGCGTGTGTGTGTGGGGGGGGGGGGTGTGCGTGAGTGCGAGCCTCACGGGTGGTAATTGCATCCATTCGATGAGATGGTCTTGCCCACAGTAACCATGAAACCATGAAAATTTGGAAAGGAGTTTGAAGTTTGGTTTTGAGAGATTTGGAGAGACTTTAATTTTTTTTTTGTAGCCAAGGACTTTGTGCGGCCGTGGGAGGTGAAAGAAAATTAGAAATCATGACAAGGCTACAGAGGAGTTACGCCATCCTTATTATTATTATTATTATTATTATTATTATAAGTATTGAGGGAAAAACAGAGTACTGATTGATGTAATGTTTCTTTCAGCTTTCATTTTCTCGCGCTAGTTAGGGTCTAAATTATTACTTGCATTGTGCGTATATATATTGAGTTTAGAGCTAATTTTGATTTGCCAGTAATCCTCTGATGAGATGGCGACGAAAACGTTTAGGAACAAGCTTAGTTATTTACATGAAAATAAGTTTTGCTAATGGTGTTTGTACTGAGTGCGCAGCTTACTCTATTCATTGCGTTGATTACATTTTTATCTTCACGTAAGCTTTTTAATTATTATTATTATTATTAATATAGGTATTGGGGGAAAAACAGAGTACTATGGGTAAAAATAAGGTAACATTGTTGCCTGCACTTCCTGCTATGAACTTGAAAACTCAATCCCTGCCATGTGCAGGTCTGGTGTTGAGCACAGACTTGGCAGACAAAAGCCAAGCAACTGATGTTTTACATGACTAGGAATAAGCCAGTAGCATCAAGGCCATACTTTTAACTTGGTCTGCACCTACTTCCTCCGCGTCATTAAAATTGTCGCGTTGCACATCACAATGTTTGTGACTTGGCTCGTCTTAGTCAGACTGTTGAACTCGCTGTTTTTTTTTGTGTTCGAACATTGGCGCGACCCTTCCTGCGCAATGTCTACTTGTTACTGAAGCCGTGGTGGTCTCGGACTTTGTCGGAGCTCTCTTTCGTACCATGCAAATTCATCGCGCTCCGCACTATTCCGCCCCAGAGCTTATATCGTTTTTCTGGAGTTCGTACCGTCCCACATCGTTCGCGTGGGCATCAAGACTGTAAGCTCGGGCATAAGCATCCTGGTATCTCTCCTGAATACGAAATGCTGAAGTTGACGATGGCAAGAACAAAGTGTTATCAAATTCCTAAAATGCACCACTTGTGCCGCATGTTGCTGCGAAAGTAGCAGGTCTGAAAACACCAACGAAATCAGCGAAGCGCTTGCTAAGGAAAGAATTTGCGGAACTCCTCACCCAATATCTTCAAATCCGGAGTTCTCCCTGTTTTCCAGGTGCCTTCTACCACCCCATCATCCACTCTTCTCTGTCGACTTGATGTTCTTACTCTTATTCAGATGAATCAGCAAAAATTATAATTTTTCTTTCACAGATGTCTTGGTGCAAAAATGATCAGTAGTGCTTTCAATTCATTGCATTCCCAACTCATCACAACCACGCGCTCTTCAGCCGAACCATACAGACACCAGCAAGGACACTTCCGTTGAGAGATAATATTGCTCCACGCCTCTAGACAGCTGTTTCGCTCCCTGTCGGAGCTCATCAGTAGAGGATAATAATGATGATAAAGGAGGAATGATCATTCTTATACACCAGAAATGGCGCAAATGCGCGCTTTCCACATATGGGCCGCGATCAGCTAAAACATGTCTTTGGGGTTTCGTAAAAAAGTTGGGAAATGACGAAATGAAAAAAATGTTTTTTTGGAGCGCGTTCACTCTGCACTTCATTCAAATGATTCGCGATGTGGCGATCATCTTCTCAAATTTTGTTCAAACACTTGTTTGGCGTTCTACTTCAAGTAGCTGGCGAGCAAAGACTGACAATGTCCACATCTAGTGATATTAGAGCAGCTCGCAGGGCCAGACGATCGCTGTGCATGGCCCAGGTTTGTTCAGGTGTCTGCAAGTCCGTGGCGGCGGGTCTGCAGAGCGACGCTGACAATTTGTTGGGATCTCATTGATGTTGATGTCGACAGCGAAGCTGAATCGTCCCCGTCGTCTCCAGTAGCGAAGAGGCACAAGTTGTGGGCTAGTACATAATCATTTAGGCGGCGAACCGGCTGCCTTACGACGTTACTTGCGTTCAGCTCTCATGAGGCGTCTGACGCAGTCTCGGAAACGCAGGCGACGATCGAAAGTGTCACTGCAAGAATCGAAAGAGTACGCAAGTGCAACGCCGCCCAGCGCATCGTGTTGCTTTCCAGGAAGAACTTGGGCCATGCCTTTGAACTGATGTCGTTGACATGCTCAAGTCGGTGTCAACATCTTTAGTTCCGTTGTATCGTGCTCCGCCCCAAAAGCCACTAAGTAATAGTTTGTCTCTTTGTGTCAGACTGTGCGAAAACTGTCATTTTATATTTCAAAGTACATATTTTGTAAGCGGTGTTTGGGGCACTTGTAGACTACTTTTCTGCCCTGTATCACCTTCAAGAGGTTAAGTAAGGTCCCAAGAACTGTTTTCTGGAGGAAAACAAAATTTGAAAATTTTCACCCTAAGACATGTTTTAGCTGGTTGTGGCCCATATATCAATGGCATATGCAAGCTGCTAAAATGGTAAAGTGTGAGAACAGCGATAAATAATCATAGTACGCGCTCATTGGTGGAGAAACACACCACACAAGCGACGAAAACCTGACGCGGAATACTGATGCTAATGGAAAGTACATGTATGTTGTTTATTATTATGATGTTGCAATGTCCATGTATGCAGGCGAGGCGAGACTCACCGCCGAGATCCCCCAACGCGACAGGCTCGGTTGCCGTTCAGGATTCACACCGACCTGTCCGCCCGTCAACAGGATCGACAGCGGGAGGCCCCACTGATGCCGATGTCGATGCACACCAGGAAACTTGTAGTCGTGAGTGTGATACTAACAGGTCTAGTAGCAACCACTGACAAACGAGAGGCCAGCTGGGGCATTCACTCCAGTCAGGGATGCTTGGTCGACGCTTCGTATCAGCAGCTCAGCTCAGTTTGATCAAAGATGTTGCAGATGTGTCTTGCTTTCCTCCTTCCTTCTTCACCGACTCGTCTTGTCACCTCTCCTTCTTGCTTCACCGACTCTTCGTGTCCACTCTGCTCTGCCACTAACGGCGCATTAAAACTTCAGAACTAAATATTGCGACAGAGCTTTCGGCCATATTTTCAATTCATTGCATTCCCAACTCATCACAACCACGCGCTCTTCAGCCGAACCATACAGACACCAGCAAGGACACTTCCGTTGAGAGATAATATTGCTCCACGGCTCTAGACAGCTGTTTCGCTCCCTGTCGGAGCTCATCAGTAGAGGATAATAATGATGATAAAGGAGGAATGATCA